TTGCCAGTGGCCTGCCTGCCCCTCTCCCTGGCCCCCTTCCCTGGGGCCAGCAGGCCTGGGCAGGGCAGCTGGCAGTGGGCGCTGCGGTGTGGGGCTAGGGTGGGGGCGGGTGACTGCTGGCCGGCCCGGGGCGTGGGGCCGAGAGCCTCTGCGGACAGTCTGGGCGCATTAAGCCGAGCGTCAGTGACAGGCGCGGAGGGCGGCGGCCAGCGGCAGGGCAGGGCGGGCCCTGGAGCCTTCGGTATTTTCCGATCCCAGCTGCTCTGAGAGGGTGGAAAGTATTTGGGGACCAGGCTTGGGGGCGGCGGCGGCGGTGGTGGCGGCGCCCCGGCGGAAGCTGCCCCTGATTCATTCTTGGAGCATGGGGTTGGGGCGGGGAAAGGGGGGGTGCCCGTGTGCGCCGAGGCCCACGCCCTGTCCACAGAGCCCAGCCAGGCGCGCACACATCCCCAAGCTGGGGTGGCCTGGGGCTGGCTTGGCCGCACCCCCCGCTGCCCACGCTCCCCCTCCTCCAGCAGCTGCCAGGCTTGGGGGGAGGTGGGGGTTGGTCCCTGGGCACTGCCCAAGCTCCAGGCCTTTGTGCCTGCAGGGACAGGGAGAGGCCAGGCCTGGCCGGCCCGGGGCACTGTGCAGGGGAAACCCCAGAGGAAGCTCGGCTGGCCAAATGGCCGCCCTTCCCGGCCAAGGCCCGAGCCGCGAATATGCTGTGTCACTTCCGGAGGCGGCTGTGAGGCCCACGCAGCTCTGGCTGCCCCCCCGGAGAAAGCCCGTGTCCAGGCGCTGCCGTGGACACCCACAGGCGTCCCTTCACCTGCCCCGCCCCCTCCCAGGGACCAGGTGCTGCCACATGCGGGGTGGGTGCTGGGCTCCCTCCTGCCAACCCCGGGGGCCTCATGTCCCCCTTGTGTCCACTCGGGGTCACGTGGTTCCGTGGTAAAGCAGCACATCGAGGGGGCTGGGGAGACGGTCACGCAGGGAGGGCGCTAGCCTTGCTTGCCAGCAACCCAGGGTCTGATCACCCACCGCCCATTGGGTCCCCTGAGCTGCCGGGAGTGATCCTTGAGCACCGCTGGGTGTGGCCAGACCACCCCAGTGGCCACCCCGCTGTGGATATCTGGAAATTGACCCTTCCTGAGACTCATGCCAGTACCTCCTCGCCGAGTGACGCTGGTCTGCCCTGGGCCCGGCTCCATTTTTCCGGATGGGGAAACTGAGGCTGACGGGATTTTGGAGGGGTTTGGCCCAAGTGCTTGTGGGCGACGCTCTGGGGCTGCACAAGTCAGGGCAAGGAGAGCTGGGCGTGCCCGGTGCCAGGGTGTGCTGGGGGCCATGGGGCAAAGGAGGAGACGGGCAGTGCTGTGGGGGGACCCTGCGGGGGGACCCTTCGGGGAGGCCCTGGCGGTTTCCTCCTGCCCTTCAGACTTCTAGGAAGTGGCGCCAGCTGGGTGAGATCATTTCCTCAGCCTCCTGCCCGCCACCCTCGGCTTCCTCCCCCCACGGCCCCATTAGCTGCCGGGAGCTCTGGGAGTCGGCAGGGGAGGAGCCTGGATGGGGGGCCCCTCGCTGCCCTGCCAGGGTGGGGGATTCCCTGCTAGGTGGGCCCCCGGCATCCCCTGCACCCTCCAATCTCACGCTCTCCTTTATCTCCCCAGATGCCAGTGGCTGGCCCTGCCCGCCGTGCCCCTGACCCCTGTGCCACGGCCGGCTGGGGTCCCTGGGGATGGGATTTGCTGCTTGTCACAAATCACATTGCCAGGGATTTCCAACCGACCCTGTGCCCCGCTGCCCGGACCGCTGCCGCCCGCCGGGACCGCCGCCCACCAAGAACGCCGGCCGCTCTGGCCCGGGGAGCAGGGCTTAGCTGCTTGTGAGCAGGGCACCACCGAGTAGTGTTCACAGTGGCTAAGTTCCGCCCCCGGGGCCCCTGCTCCGCGCCCCCAGACCCCGCTGTGCCCGTCCGGTGCCAGGCGGGCCTCCCTGGGCTCTGCCTTCTGTCCCTGCTGAGCTGAAACACAGTTGGTGTCTGCAGACTGGCTCAGTTCAGCAGGAACAGCAGTCAAGCCCCCTTGGAGGGACCCTGGCCCTGGCGGTCCCCGCACTAGGGGGCGGGGGAGCGCCACGACAAAGACCTGTGGTCTGGAGGAGGGCTGGGCCTGGAGGGAGTGGCTGGTTCGGGCTGTCTGCACCCAGCAGGCCTTTAAGGGCCCTCATCCTGGCCCCCTCCCACTGTTCTCCCTGCAGCTGGGCTGTACCCCCAGAGCCTGCAGTGAAAAAGGGAAGCCACTGAGGTACCCCGGGACAGGAGTTCCAGCCCCCTCCCCTGCCAGCCCGGTTCTCACTCTCTAATAGCCCAAGAGGAAGCCACCATGGGTGTTGAGACCGTTAAATGCCAACCCCGGGGCTTCCGGAACCAGGCTGGCTGGGCTGTGGGGGGCCTGGCCCCTCTCCCTGGCTCCTTCACTGGGGGCGGGGCGGACCTGGTGCCCTGAGACCAGTACTGGATGGATCAGGTGTTCTGGGGAGGCAACCCCTGGGCTTCAGGTGTGATGGGGAGGGGCTACCGAAGCTGTGGTCAGTGGGTCTTGCCTGGCATCTGATGAGGTGACGGTGCCCCTTGCTTTCCTGAAGTCTGGTGTTGGCTTACTCGGACCCAGTTTTTGGGTAGGAGGATTGATCGCCCCGAATTTATGGTGCTGGTACCCTGGGCTGCTGCCCTAGCAGGAGCCCCGTGTTGGCCCCACCTGTTGTCAGGCTGGGCAGTCACATGGACAGGCGGGAGCTGGCAAAGGACACTGACCTTGAGGTGTTTCCTGGGATTGGCGGAGACCCTGGGGGGAGCCCAGGACCTCTGGGCCGGCTGCCTTTGGGGGCGGATGTGTCAGGGAGGTTGTTTGGGGGGAGACGTAGGCGGGGGAGTCCAACGAGGAATCCTCGGTATCTGGGTGAGAGGACCTAAAAGATGATGCTAGTTTGCTGATCACAGAACCTGGGGTTCTGGCGGGAGGCCCGAGACGGGATGCCTGGCCCTGGGTACGATGGGGGTGCCTAGTATCTGAGAATACTGGCCGCGAACTTGGGTTCGGACGTGTGGCCACGATGCGAGGCCCACCCTAGGTTCGAAGGAGTCCGTGTGTGGATCCTGAGCCCAGAAGCACCGGACGCGGTGCGTTTGCAGCTCCGGAAACGCGCACGTAGCCCCTCGGGGGAGGCGCTCCTCTCCTCCCGGCCTGTAGGCGGCGCCGAGGAGCGCGCCGGCCGCCAGCGGGGCTTGCACATACCTGCGGGAACACGTGAGGCGGGGCCGCCTGCCATTGGTTGCCTGGAATAGAGGGCGGCTCCACTGGCCTACCGCGGTGTCCAGCGCCGCCGCGGCCCCGCCTACGGAGCACGCGCGTCCGGCCCCGCCCACCTTGGCACTGATCCCCGCCCCTCCGGGAAGTCCGTGTCCTCATGTGCCCCGGGTCTGACAGCGACACCTCATCCGTCTGTCTGTCGGCCTTCAAAGGCAGGAAGGGCCCCGGGACGCCAGAAAACGCGGTGAGGGTCTCCTGGCAGGACCCTCGGATCCTCTCGATCTACTTGGGGGCCGGGACCCCTGCACTCCAGACACTCCCCTGCAGGCCCCGCCCCCAGCCTTTGTCGGAATCCCGTGCCCTCCCTACCAGCCTCCCCCGTCCCCCACTTTGGGAAGGGGAGGGCCTTACCCTCTGGGCCGGACACGCCCCCCGCCTCCGCGCAACCATTGGGCACAAGTACCCCTAAGCGCGGGCGTCTGGGCTTAGCGCACCCCCTAGTGGCCGTTGCCAGCGGCTCCAGGCCCGTGACCGTCCGGGATGGGGATCCACTGGGAGGTGCCTGGAGCTTGGCGCCCCAGCACTGGGCGGTCTCCCGTCTTCCTGTCCGTAGAACCGAATCGGCACGGGACCAACTCCGCTCTCTCGGGGTTTCCACTGAAGCGGGACTCAGGATTTTGTCCCGCTGGGCCCTTCACGGAAAGCTGTGCGCGTGGCAGGTGGGAAAACCTCTGGAAAGGTAGGCCAGGGAGGGGGTCCTCACCCGGGGAGAGGGTGCGCGGTCTGTCTCAGAATAAAGTCAAAACAGAAGTCATGTGTTCAATCTTTTAAAAAAAAAAGAACAATATATGGTTCAATAAATAGAAAAGTTACAAAACCACGGTAATCTCTTGTCCTTAATTACAGAATAAGAGGGGGAGGGCCGGGGACTTCCTCTGTCTGGGCCCAGGGGACTGGAGGTACGGAAAGGGGGACACAGTCCGGGCTGGAGAGTAACAGGCTAAAGGGGCAACACTTGGCCCAGTGCGGGCTGGGATTAGAGCACTGGGCGGCCAGTCCAGCCACAAAGCACCACACCCGGTGCTGGCTGGCCTTGCCCTTGCCAGATGGGGGCTTGGGGAGAGGGGTTCGGCTCTCCTGTGAACCCCCCATGACAGTGTTAAGTGTGACTCGGTGAGGTTCCTGAGTTGCATGTCCAGTGACCAGCAGGTGGGGGCGGGCAGTTAGTAACCCCCAGCCCACCCCAGGAGCTGCAGAGTGGGGGTGGGGGGGTGAGGTATGTGGCCGAGGCCTCAGGCCTCTTCAGATCCTACCTTCAGCGGGAGGAAGTCAGTGGTCCCAGTCGGCAGCCCAGAGGGCACTCAGGGCTGTGCAGGGCCCCTGAGGCAGCTGTGGGGAGGGTGCTGAGGGAATGGGGTGCCATGGCCCAAGCCCTAGACTCTCCACTACATTGGGTTCCTCGCAGTCTTGGCACATGAACTGCTGGGGCCCCCTTTCCGGAAAGTTCCACCTCCTAGCATCCCAGGGCTGCGAATTTGGGCAGGGGGAACTTGCCTACTGCTTGGGTGGGGTGTCGGTGCACCCAAGGTGGGGTGTCGGGCAGCGCAAGTGCACCCCTTCCCACCCAGGCCTCTGGGTGGCAGTATGGCTTCTGATCCTTGCACCTGGCACCTCAGGTCGGGCTGGGGGGGCGGGGGTAAGGTGGGCAAGCCCACCTCGCTCAGGCCTGGCTCCTTCCCTGACTTAATACTGAAATGCCCTGGGGTCTCCGCTGCGGAGACCGCCGACACTGCAGAGCGGGTGCCTGGCTGCGAAAGGAGAGGGGGTCCCCGGGCCCCCGCCGCCTGCGGCTCAGCCAAACCGCTCCCGCACCAACAGCATCAGCTTCTTCTTGCCCTTGTAGGTCTGTTTCAGGTTCTCTAGGAACTGGGCGAACTGGAGGTGGCCGTCGGGCGCCAACAGGAAGGTGTCGCGGGCTTTGCCCAGGAACTCGATGAAGTCCCCGTAGTGGCGCGGGCTGATGTGCGTCAGGCGCGAGTGGCTGGTGGCAATGTAGGCGGCCACGGCGGCATCCAGGAGCTGGCAGAGCGGTGCCCGGTCCGCACCCAGGGGCTTGGCCGCCCGGCGCGCCCCCAGAGGCCCCAGACCTGGCGCCGACAGGGTCCAACGGCGCAGAATGTCGGAGAGCATGGGCGCGCAGTGGATGCTCCGCACGATGAGCGGAACGATGGCCGAGAGCTCGTGGCGGCCCAGCGAGTGGCTGAGCGAGCAGGCCCAGAGCACGTCGTTGACGGCAGGGTGGCTGTCCTGGTTGAAGGCGATGCTGAGCTGCGCCAGGGCGAGCGTGGCCAGCTTATAGGCGCGCAGCGGCAGGCCGCGGTGCTCCATGTAGCGCGCCACGGTGAAGAGGTGCGCGTGGCCCAGGCCGCCGGCCGCCGCGTCCAGCACGATCTGATAGGCCGCCTCGAAGGCCGCGTGATTCTTCTCGCACAGCGTGAGCGCCGGCAGCGCGCAGTTCTGCGGGTCCTTCATGGCGCACTGCAGGGCCAGCGTGCGTGCGCATGCCCACAGCTCCTCCCGCCGCGGCGCGTCCAGCTGCAGCCGCAGCAGCGTGGCGTGTGTGGTGCCCGTCACCGCCACGATGGTGGCTGCCTCCACCGGGGTGAAGAGGGAATACCAGTTCTGCATGATGTTCATCAGGGCGGACTGGCCTGCAGCAGGGGAAGAGGAGTGGAGGGGCTAAATATGACCACCTCCCACTGGCTCGAAGCCCTGCCCCCACAAAACCCCCGAAGCATCAGCCCTGGCTAAAGTCACACCCCTACAAGCCTGGCCCGAAGCCCCGCCCCCAGGACCCGCTCCCCCCAAACCCCGCCCCCAGTCTGGACTGAAGCCCCGCCCCATCAGCCTGAGCCCTGGACCGAAGCCCCGCCCATAAGCCTGGTCTGAATCACATCCTGTCCAGGTCCCCACCAGGGGCGGACTCTATCCTCGATAGCGATCAATGTCCCTTCCCAGGAGTACTTGTGCCTGCCCAGCCTCCAGGCCTTTGGTCCAGCTTGGCCTCTCCCCAGACACACTCCTGGCCCGGCCCTGAGAGCAGCACAAAGCTGGCAACCTAACACGGCCCAGGGCATGTCTCACCGATCTCCGTGGCGCAGCTGACCAGCCAGCGCACCATCTCCCTGCGCCGCCAGCTCATGGTGCTCAGCGTCAGTCGCATCACCTGCGGGGGGCGCGGGAATGTGGGGTCAGCTCGCGCCAGGACCATCCCTGTGAGCCCATCTCCACCTTCAGGTGGTCTCACCTGCATGCCCAGCTCCAAGGCGATGCCCAGCAGCGTGGTGTCCGGAGGCGCGCTGGCCGGGGTTGCCGTCTTGCACGCGTCCTGCGCCAGCTTGAACAGCAGGGCGGGTGAGTGGATATTCTGCTGGATGGAGCCCAGGACCGCATGCAGCCACTTGGGATCTCCTGGGGCAGGGAAGGGGGCAGAGGGCTCAGTTGATCCCCAAGCCAAACACATTCGTACAGATTCCTCCACGGGGAGATGTGTGTTCCACCTGCAGCGGCTCTATGAAACGATCCAGGCCACCCTGGGACCCCCTTTCTCCCTCGGTCCCTCGTTTTGATAATGCCAGGGTTCAAGCCCCTTCCCAGGGGTGGGTGATGGCTAACTGGTTTCCCTTAGGCTGGTGATCCGGGAAAGGGTTGCTCGACAGAGACGCATGGCGTGGGGCAGCCTCACCCTTGGCTGCTGTCAGCATGGCAGAGGCCAGCTCACACTGGCGTGTCTCCAGGTGGCCCAGGATGAACCAACGGGGGAAGCGGTTGCTCATGATGGAGTCCAGCGGGTTGGGCGGGGGCTCTCCCGCGGGAAACGTCGTCTCCAGGACAGGCAGCCTGCCGTGGGCAAGAGACAAGATCGATGGCACTTGATGGTGGGACCTCCAATCCCTCCTGGGGAAAGAGGCCGGAGACCACACCCCACCCCAAATCAGCAAGGCCCTATTTCCCCAGAGAGATGGATGCAGTGTCAGAGAGGGTTGGCTAGACACGGTCCCTGCCCTGACACGGGGGTCAGTTAAATAAAACATCACTCAAGGGCCAGAGAGATAGCACAGGGGTGAGGTCTTGCCTTGTCTGTAGCTCACCTAGGTTCGACCCCCCTTCCCCTATACTGCATACAACCAAGTATGAGGCACATCCATGTGTGACCCTGGGGACAAACTACCGGCTGATAGCACAATTTTAATAGTGTGTGAAGGGGGCTGGAGCGATAGCACAGCCGTAGGGCATTTGCCTTGCACATGGCCAACCCGGGTTCGGTTCTCAGCATTCCATATGATCCCCCAAGCACCGCCAGGAGTAATTCCTGAGAGCAGAGCCAGGAGGAACCCCTGAGCATCGCTGGGGGTGACCCAAGAAGAAAAAAAAAGGAGTGTGTGAAGGCCGGGGTTGGAGTTATAGCACAGCGCGTAGGGCATCTGCCTAACACGTGGCGGGCCGGACTGACTGGCGTTTGATTCCTCCGCCCCTCTTGGAGAGCCCGGCAAGCTACCAAGAGTATCTTGCCTGCACGGCAAAGCCTGGCAAGCTACCCGTGACGTATTCAATATGCCAAACCCAGTAACAAGTGTCACAATGGAGACGTTACTGGGCTCGCTTGAGCAAATTGATGAACAACGGGAGGACAGTGACAGTGACAGTGTGAAGGCTGTCACTGCAAGCAAAGAGATAGGACTGCGGGGAGGGTGCTTGCCTTGCATATGGGTTTGATCCCCAGCACTGCACAGGATACCCCAACCACCATCAGGAGTGAGCCCTGAGCATGGAGTCAGGAGTAAGCCCCGAGCACCGCTGGGTGTGACTCAAAAACCAAACCAAAGAAAAAAAAAGCAAGTGTGTGAGACCTCTGAGATCCCCGGTCAGCAGAAGAGACAAGAAAGGCCAAAAGAAAATTAGAATGATCTGTGACATAAAACACAAACTCAATAAACAAGCATGGCTATGAGCCATTAAAACAATTTGGTCTGATTTGGGGCCGGAATTGCTCTGGGCATGGTACTCAGTGGACAAGCCAGTGCCAGGATGAAACGCAGGCTTCCCAAAACAACAAGATCTGCACCCTAAGATCTGCATTTCCTTTCCTTTTCCTGTCTCACAGACTATTCTCATGATTTCGCTTCTTATCTTTTATCAACCAGCAGAAAATGCAAAATCCATTCTGAGGTCATGGACTATAGAAAACAAACCAAAAAAAGGTGGTGATATGGTGATATGATCTATGATAATTCAATAAAAACTAAGGGAAGAAAACACCCAAGTCAGATTTGGCGCAGGGGGTCATTTGCTGACTGCAAAAAAAAAAGATTTTACACGTAGAAGTTTGTTCGTTCTGTCTGCACTGTGACCCTAAAAGTGTGACTCCCCCAAATACTCCCTGATGTAGACAGAGGCTCGAGAGATAACACAGAACAGCCTGCCCTGCAGGGGACCAACCCTGGCGTGGCCCCTGCAGCACTGCTGGGAGCAACTGCCAAGCACAGAAGTGGAAACAGTGTGTGAGCACAGGCAGATGCTGTTCCAAGCCTTCCACCCCCCAAATAATAAACTGGTCCTCTATGGGGCCAGGAATATTACTCAATGGGTAAAGTGCTTTGCAGGCAAGGAGCCCCAGATTCGATTCCTGGCACCGTAAGGTCCCCTGAGTGCTGGTGCAAGTGACCTCCAGGCACAGCGGGATTTAAAGGGAAAAAAAAAAAGCAAAAGCAAAGCAAAGAAATGGAGGTAGCTCAAAGGAAACCCTGGGTTTGATCCCTGGCACCACGGGAGTCCACCCGGTACTGCTGGTACAGCCCTGGTGGTCCTTCAGCCCCACCCCTCAGGCTGTTGGTGGCAGTCCCTATTTTTATTTATTTTTGCTTTTTGGGTCACGCCCGGCGATGCACAGGGGTTACTCCTGGCTCTTCACTCAGGAATTACTCCTGGCGGTGCTCGGGGGACCATATGGGATGCTGGAAATCAAACTCGGGTCGGCCGTGTGCAAGGCAAACGCCCTACTGCTGTGCTATTGCTCCAGCCCCCAGTCCCTATTTTTAAACAGAAAGAAATCGATAAAGCTGAAGGCCTCGGGAGATGTTTGCTGCATTCTGTGCCATGAGGATTGTTTCTCAAATTCAAAGTGAACTAAAGCATTTCTACTTGATGAAGGCACCAGGCACCCCGCAGCCTGGCTGATGGTTCAGCCTAGGGGATGGGGCTCGGGGCATGTCCCCCGGTACTCCCAGTGCTCACCTCATGGCCCGCAGTGCCAGGCGGTAGGCCAGGTCCGGGTCGTGGGGCAGCAGGGCAGTGAACAGGTAGCGGGCGCAGGTGTGCATGGGCACGCTTTCCTGGAACAGCACCTCCCCGAAGCCGCTGAACGGACCCCCTGCAGGGCAGCTGAGCTGAGCCCCGGGTGCGTCCGCTTCCCTCCCTCCCCAGAACCCCCCACCTCAGGCTGGGTGGGTGGCGGTGAGATCCTCCAGCTAAGTGCATGACACAAAGATACCGCCCAGCCATGGGGGGGCGGGTAGGGGGTCTGGGGGGAGGTCTGGGCTCAATGCAGGAGGATGGGAAGGGGGGCGAGAGGCGGGGCCAAATAGCTCCCACCCCACTACAGGGGCCGGGCCTCACCAGGGGTAGAGTCAATGAAATGCAGTATGTGCCAGGGACTCTGCTGATTGACGGGAAGGTGGAGCAGAGTCTCACCACAAGACGCAGTTATCGGTTATCAGCACGTAGGGGGTGGGGCCTCCTGGGACTCAGGGGGCAATGGGGAGGGTGGCAAGTGGGGGGGGTCCTCACCTTCCAGCAGCAGCCCGGCCTGCTTACGCAGCACCTGTACCAGCCGCTCATCCAGCTCCAGTTCTTCGAGCAGGGCCAACAGCTGCTCCTCGTTACGGACAACTTTGTCCTGGGCATACAGGCCGTCGGGCAGGGCCCGCTGCTGCCCCAGCCCCAGGAGCGCCACTTCCAGAGCCAGTGCCAGGTAGGACTCGCCGGGGTTCCCAGGAACCGGCACGTGCTGGTAAGCCACCTTCCGCTTCTCGGGACCTGCATCTGTGCGAGATGGGCATGATGGATCCTAGGGCTGGGAGCGCTCTGGCGAGCAGGGGGCAGGAGGGACGGGTTCGCCTCCCAGGCTGGTCCCTCAGGGCGGTACCTGGGTACAGGGCGAGGTTCTCCTCCTCCAGGCGGCAGGCTTCCAGGAGTGCCTTGCAGAGGCAGCCAATGGGGTCTAGAGGGTGGCCCACCCAACCCTCTGTGTTGGTGATACTGGTGGAACCTTTTTGCAGCAGTTCTGCGGGGCCAAAAGGGGGGCACGAGGAGTCAGTACCCACCTGCCCGCCCCAGGCCGAGCGGGGGCTTCCTTGCCCTGAATCCCCAAATCCCCACCTCGCAGAACAGAGGCCAAGTCTGGGGTTTGGTCAGAAGCCATCCGGCAGGATAAGACCCCCATCCCCTTCCCAAACAGGGTCCTTTTTGCCCCCATGTTCCTCCAGCAGCACTGGGGGGGGGGGGTTGCAGCAGCACATTCCAGCACTTACTCTCCAGTGCCCGCCCGCCCAAAAGCCCCACTCAGGCTGCCTGTGCGCTCTCGGCCATGTTGTTCCCTCTGCCTCGGCCATGGCTCCTCCCTCCCCCTCTCCTCCATCCGAAGGTGCCAACAGTGCTCTGGCCTCCTCCAGGTTACATCCGAGCCCTACACTGTCCATCCCCACTCTCCCCAGCCCATTAGTCCAGCCCCCTGGGGCACAACTGGTGGGCTGCCCTGGCTATCATGGCGGTCAGTTTTTTTGGAATATGAAACTGATGGGTTTTAGGGTTAGTTTGGGTGGTTGTTCTCAGTGCTGGGGGGGGATGGTGTTGAACCATGCAGAAATCACTCCCAGAGTCTGACCTTCAGCCCTTAAGAGTTGTCTCCACTGCCTGAAAACTTATTGAATCCCTCATGAGGCAACTCAGCAATTTCTAGCTTCTCTAGAGAAATCTGGGGCATCTGTCTACACAGGGCCCAGGAGCTCCATGCGTGTCCGAGAGAGCTTTGCCCACCCAGGTTACTCTCCTGCAGATCTTCCAAGGGCTCTATGCACCAGTCACTCTCGTGGGACACTCCTTTCAGCTTGGGGGGGGGCCTCAAAATAGTTCTGTTTTCCTGGCACCCTATGCCACAGCCCCCCTAGAAACTGGGAGTGTTGTCTGCAGCACCCGGGCTGTGCTGGGCAGGTGCCCACCTTTTTTCTGCTGCTTGTAGCTGTCCAGCTGGTGGCGCCGCTGCAGCCGCAGCGTGTTGATGACTGCACCGGCCAGCCGCAGGGCCTGACGCGGGTATCCATGGGCGCGCAGCGTGTCCACCCGGGCGCAGGCAGTGGGGAAGGGCTCGCCCAGCCAGAGGGGGCGGCCCTGGGGGTCGAAGGTGGGCTTGTCCCCGCCCACGTTGCCTGTGAGGCTGGGGCTGCAGTAGTCGCTGGCCAGGATCCTTTGCAGGTGGGCGTCCCTCCAGTGAAGCGCCCCCGCCTGCAGGGCGCGGCCGAACACCGTGTGCCGCGGGCCCGAGTCCGGGGCCTCCTCGTCCTCCGCCTCTGGGTCTGTGGGGAGTTGCCATTGGCGTGAGGGGGGGCCCTGGCAATGGCCAGTACCCGACCTGACAGTTTGGGGTGGCAGCGATTGCGACTGTGATTCTGGCAACCCTCCGGGGTCTGCGGGTGTGGGAGTCTGTCCAGCGAGCACGAGTGCGCATGCGCCACCCACAGTGGGAAAGTTTTGAGTTTCCCCATCCCGCCCCGGGGATATTGCCCACCGCGACACGGGGGAGGGGGAGGGTACACGACGACACTGCCTCCTAGTGAGGAGCTCACTCCACACCACTTTTTTTCTTTTCCGGGGTCTCTCTCTGAGTGTGAGGTGGTGTGGGGTCTGGGTGGGGTCGGGCGGGGCTGGGGCGGGGGTTCCTATCCTACCTGCAGGGGGCTGCAGGCAGGGCCCGTCGAAGGAGTAGTTTCCCTCTTCCAGCGGGCACACGTCCAGCTTGTTCCACTTGCTAAGAAGCTGCAGCCAGCTCGCCCGCTCCTCAGGCTTGCAGTGCGGGCTCAGGACCACGCACACCCACAGGGCCCCTGGGGGAAGGAAGGCGTGAGCAGGGTCACCCTGTCGCCACTCCACCCCAGCCAGTCCCTACCCTCACCACCGTTTATCTTAGCGGACAGTCGGGGGACTGACTCGGAACTGGCTACCCTCCCTGTGAGCGGAGGGTTTTTCCCCAGGGGAAAGAAATCTGCAGGAGAATATCCCGCTCCATGACAGCTGGACCGGGGGTTCAAACCAGGTGCCGGGGAGGTCAGGTGGTCCAGGGGCCCACACGCTGCTGGTCCCTCTGAGCCTCACCCAGCTCGTCCCATAGCTGCCTGCACTTGTCCGTCATGCCCGCGCCCTGCTGCCGCCACAGCGCCAGGCGGGGGTCCTGCAGGAACTGCTCAGTCATGAGGATCAGCATGCGCGCCCCGTTGGAGTCCCGCATCCGCAGCATTTCCCGCACCTGTTGGAGGGAGGTTGAGCCAGGCAGGGGTGGGGGATGAGCCAGGCAGGGGCTGCGCCCGTGTGACACCCGCTCCCCCCCCCCCCACTGTGCCTGCAGCACCTTGGAGAACATGGAGCGCAGCTGCTGGCTGGCGCCGTAGTAGCCGCCGTTGGACAGCAGTTGTTTCACCTGCTCCTGGATCTGCTCCTCGTCCAAATGCCAGCAGTTGGCGTCCTCGATGCCTGCGCCGGCTGTGGGGTCGGGGGCGCCTGTGGGCAAGGAGGAAAGGCTGGGAAGAAGGGGACACGTGACCCTGCCCCCCGCTGGTCCTCAAAGTCACGTGACCCACCGCTATGTTCCAAACATCCATCCTTCTTTCATCCACCACCTACAGCTTGGTGTGCATACGCCACCCGTCAGCCCTCCACCCACTGACTCACCTGTCTCCCACCCGTCTAGTCACATGCCCACCCACAATCTCCCTGCCTGTCCATCAGCGTCCAACACCAGCAGCTCATCGCTGACCTGTCACTGAGGCCGAAACAACACCTACTCGGGTGCCTGTGCGTGCCCCCCCCCCCAGCCGCAGAATCTCCCACGGAAGTATCACCCAGCGACCCTGTCCACCCACACATCCCTGGCCCTCAGCAAACCACCAAACCTCATGAGTTCTTCCCTGCCCACATCCCCTGGCCCCTCACTTGCAGCCCGCTGCCTGGGCCTCCCCACCTTCCACGACTTCCAGGTCATCCGTTTCAAACACCCTGGCCTCTTTGTCCACTGAACCCCGTACAGCTGTGCTAGTGAGCAAGCAGTGAACCCCAACTCTTGTTCATGCCTCATCCAGGCACCTCCCCAAACACCCACACACCTACACTACACCCACTCATGCGACGTGGGGAACACCCACCCACTTCATCTTTTTTTTTTGAGGGGCCACACTGGGCGGTGCTCAGGGGTCATTTCTCACCAGGTTCAGGAGACCCTACTGAGTGCCGGGGATTGAACCCAGGTAGGCCGCGTGCAAGACAAGCCTCTCTCCTCACTGTGCTCTTGTTCTGACCCCCCACATGCATCCACTTAATCCTGTGTGTCTGCATGGACAGACCTCCCATGTACCTGTGTATTCCTAGCCCCCACCCCACATTCCTGCTCCACCAGTCAATTAAAGCCCATCCTACTGCCAATGACCAACTCCTTATTCATCCCACGTCCACCATCATCCATCCACTCCCCACATTCATCCTGCCCCATCATCAGTTCACGCAAAACTTCTACCATCAACAGGCACTCAGCCCCGCCCGCAATTAGCTGCCCCCCCCCCCCAGTCCCTCCCACAGCCCGCCTGTCGACCCTGACCGTGCACCAGGTTGATCTCGGAGCCGAGCAGGAGGATCTCGTCGGCCAGGCGCTGGGCAGTGGGCAGCACCTCAGTGTGGTGGGCGCTGATGAGATATTGAACAAACTTCTGCAGCTGGTCCCGGTTCATCTGTGACAGGGTCTCGGAGATGGGCAGCCGCAGCGCCACCTGGTGGGCATGGCGGATGCGGTAGAGCGACAGAGCCACCACATGGGCGCAGTAGAAGAGGTCCCGGTTGTCACAACCACAGCTCACGGATGTGATCTTGCAGCGGTCGAAGCTGATGGACACGTGGTAGAGGCGCTCCGGCTCCCCGGGGGCCCCCGGCTCCTGCACGTTTCCGCTCAGGTGGAACCCTACGATGAGAGCCCAAAGGTCTAGCGGCTGTGTGCCGCCACTCTGCCCACCGAGTCTTCCCTGGGTCTGTGCCCCCCCGTCTGCCCATCTGAGGATCGGGCAGACACAGAGCCACCCCGCTGTCTCAGCTGTAGGGAGGACGAGAGCAATGAAGGTGACCCACAGAAACGCAGGCGGACAGTCCCAGGCCTGGTTCCTAGGACAGCACCCAGCTCCGGGGCCCAGCGACCCCTGGGAAGATCGTGGCATGGGGGGGTATGGGAGTGCTGGGGGCGTCTGGGGGGCAGGTCATTCCAGCAGCCCTGCCCCTCCCTGTCCTGAGGAGCCAGGCGGGCTCATCCAACTGGTTGGGTGGCTCAGGCCCCGGCTGGCCCTGGCTGCGTCATGCAGGCGGCCGGCGGCTTCCTCATACCGCCCGGAGGTGGCCAAGCTGGGACCAGCCACCCGGCGGGGGCCTCCAGGTGGCCGGAGTTCAGGGAGGGTGATGCTGTCCAGGCCTGCCACCTGCGGGAAGGCCCACTGCCCCAGGGGATGAGCACCTTATAGCCCCCACCCCTCCAACAAGGCCTGTCTGAGACCCTTCCTCTCCTCCTCCCCAACCCCAACTCCCACCCCGGGCACTACAGCTGCTTCCTTAGCTTCTCGGCTTTCCTGCTGAGGCCCAGAACCATCCACCTGTTCACCTCTGCCCACTCCCCAGCTCCCATAGCACCCGGCAGTGTGGCCCCCCCCAGGCTAAGTGACCTTAGACCCTCCCTCCTCCTTGGTCAGAATATTCCTCAGCTCTCGCTGAACACACCAGGTCCACATACCCCGAGTCTGCCTGAGGTTTACACCCTGGACCGATCTCCACCCGACTCTGGGGGTCTACACTCTGGATCCACTTCCCTTAGTCCTCTGCGCTCTGGCTGCTTTGTATCTAGCAATTTCTACTCTAATCTCTGACGAAGTGAAAATCCTCATCCCCAGCCCCCAAGCCCTGCCCATGCATCCTCAGCCCCCAATCCAGGATCCCAGGGTCATGGCTGCTTTCCAGCGTCCTGGCTGACCCCACAGTGGCCCCCTGGGATCCAGATGTCCTCACACCTCCGCCCTTGAGCTTGAGCTTCTGGCCCTGGTCTCCCCGGACATGCTCTGGGACCCCCTGATCTAGGGTCCGGCTCTTGGGAGCCAGCGAGGCCAGAGCCCTAGGTCAGTCCTAGCACTGCACCACACAGCCTTCTCTCTTTACCTGCAGCGGCCCAGCGCCAGCCACCCCCGAGGTCAGCGCCCACTAGGGTCGGGGTCCCCCAATTGGCCAGGGACGGGGCGAGCTCTCACCCACTTGCAGCACCCGGTCCACTGCCCCGCTCTGCAGCAGCTGCAGCCCGCGGGTGAAGGGCACGCGGGCGTCGTGCTCGCTGTCCGGGGCCTGGCAGCCCAGGGATGAGTACATGCAGATCTCACGCTCGCTGCGGGGGAAGGACCAGAACACGATGCGCTTCTGGACGGGCTCCGGCACGCGCGAGAACCGCTCCTCCACCTGGGCGAGGGCAGCACTGGGTCAGGGGGGCCCAGGCAGGAGACGGCGAGGAGGGTGTCAAGGCACCCCCACTGCCCTCCCACCCCCCAGTGAGGGTTCTAGAACTTTCTGCCACTTCCCTCCTGGAAGGTTCCATCCCAGGGGCTTGCCCAGGCTCTGAGGTGGAATACCGAAGAAAGTGATAAAAGCAAACAGACGGAGCATTTTTCTCAGGCTGTGTGTGTGTGTGTGTGTGTGTGTTGCTTTCTCTTGGTTGAGGGGCCACACCCCCAGCAGTGCTCAGGGCTGGACTCCTGGCTCTGTGCTCAGGGATCGCTTCTGGCACGGCTGGGTGGGATACTCCATGGGATGCCCGGGATTGAGCCCGGGTTAACCCTGTGCCAGAAAAATGCCCAACCCGCTGTACTGTCGTCCAGGCCCCCATCCTGTAGTTCGCTTGGTTTTGGTGGGGGGGGAGGGGGCACTCCCGGCGATGCTCAGGGGTTACTTCTGGATCTGAGCTCAACGTTCACCAGTGGCTCAAGAAACCATATCGGATGCTGGGGATCGAACTCAGGTCAGCCTCGCACAAGGCAAGCGCCATCCCCACGGTCCCACCACTCCAGCGCCCCTTCTTGCCGAAGCCGCTCAGGTCTCTACTGACATACTGAGGGTCAGTACTAGGTGGCCTACCTCAGTTCCCCCAGACAGGCTTCCCTTCCATGCCCCGATACCCAGAAGGGCTCCCACGGAGGCAGGGAGAGGTGTGTCGTTCCCCCCCATCCCCAAGGCTCTGGGTGCTGAGTGGAGCTGGTTGAGCCTGCCATTCCAACCCCAGCTTCTCCTTCCGGGCTGGGTGACCCTAGGCAAGTTTCCCAACCTCTCTGTGCCCCAGTTTCCTCTGCATACGAGGGAGTCAGGGCAGAGGCACCTGGTGTGTTGGCGGGGCAGGAGCAGCGGGAGCAAATGGCCCAGGCTTTCCGGGGTCAGTGGGCAGATGACTAAGGAGGGGTTTTCTGACTGTGAATCAGAGTCTGCCCAATGTGCCCTTCTGATAGTGGAACAGGGCGAAACCCCAGGGTCAGCCCCGGCCAAGCAGACAGGACCCAGATGGAGTTGGGGGGTGCTGCAGGCTGGACCGAGTCTGGGCCACACTCTGGCTGTAAAAAGGGACTTCCAGGACCTCAGGCCAAGGCACCCGGCAGTTCCCCAAGTCAGAGGTGGAGCTTCGGGTGCACCTGTCCGGGTACCCAAACAGTCAGACTCAGGTCCTGCCCCTGGCGGCGGGCTCTGGAGAGCTGTGGGGTGCAGGACCGGACCCGGGGAGTAAGTGGCCCTCATCAGCTGCCAGGGGGTGCTGGGGGCAGCCGGAGGGATTGTGGTTCTCCAGGAGGAAGGGGAGAGGAGCCCCAGAGATTCTGTGGGGTCTTTCAGCTAGAGGGAGACAGTTGTGGGGTTGTGAGGCTGACCTCTCGACATGGGGGGGGGGTCCTCGGCTGGAGGCGGGTGTAGTACTGTGGTGGGTGTGGGGGGCGGGGATTGGGGCACAGACTTCTCTAAGAAATGGAAGTTGGGGAAACCCGGTGGAGTTGGAGAGAGGAGGATTGAACTGGGGCGCCCCAACTACCGTCTGATGAGGAAGTGGGGGGCCCCGTGTAGAGAGAAGCCTGGGGCAGGAGAAGGAAGCATCGGGTCTGGGATCCGGGGCGCGGCGCATGGATGGCGCTTCAGAAAGGGTCGGGGAGTGGGTCTCTGGGTCTGAAGGGGTTAAGCGGGCCGCGGAGGGCTGGGTTAGGGTCCTCGGAGAGGACCTTGGAGGCAGTGTCTTCAAGGGGACAGGTCCGAGGGCTGGGGGCTGGGCAGGGGTTGGGGTGCTCCCGTCCCCCCACCCCCAGTCACCTGCTCGAAGGCCCAGCTCTCGGCCACTCGCTTGGCGCAGAGGTCCAGCAGCGGCTCGGGCCGACCCCAGGCGCGCACGGCTCCGGCCCAGCTCTCGCGCTCGTCGCGGCCGGCGGGGCAGAGCCGGCTCCGTTTGGCCTCGGGGGCGTCCATCGCTGGGCCGGGGCCGGGGGCGGGGCCTCCAGAAGGGTGGTCGGTCTGATGCTCGCTCCTCCTTAGCGGCTCCCGCGAGTCCTGACCGTCCTTCCGTCCTTCTCCCGCGCTCGAGACCCCCACCGCACCCACCCCCGCCCCGCACCGGGCCGGCCGGTGATGCGGCCCCTTTAAGACTCTTCACAACAATGAAGCAGCCTCGGACGCTGCTTTATCCTCCGCCGTCGTCCCGCCCCCGCCCCCCTTCCCCATTGGCCCCCCCTTTGGCCTCCGAGGCCCTCTTCCACCATTGGCTGCGCCGCCGGACCCGTCTCTAAGGCTCCGCGGCTCATTCGTAAAAGAAACTGCCAATCTTTCTGATTGGGGCCAATCAGAGCACTCAGCGACAGCCGCTGTCCATCACGGGGAGCCGGCGACCAATCACAGGGGGAGGAGCCCCGCGGCTCAGGCCTTAGGCGGAGTTTCGGGGCGGGCCCTGGGTTCATTCACAACATTCCTCCCCCGCCCGCCTCGGGTTGGACAGCGCACCCGGGGCAGCTGGGGCTGCGCCCACACACGGCTTTGTTTACTGAGGGTCGCTTCCGGGCGCCGCAAGGGGACAATCAACTCGGCTCGGCCCTGGAGCGAGGTAGAGGGACGAGTCTGCGCCGCGCTCCGGCCCCTCCTCCTTCCTTGTGGCTGTGTGACGCCAGAAACTCAATCAGCTTCTCTGGGCGCTCGGCGAAGTTTGGATACTTTCAGGGATAGACTCGGGGGTGGGGTCCCAGCGCTGCGGATGCCAGTTCTGGAAATCGAGTTCAAATTCAGGCTCCATGCTAAGAACCTTCCTTCCATTTTTTGGCCCCAAATAAGGTTTAGTCATTGGAGATAGCTGCTTTTCAAGCATTTCGGATCTATTAAAACGGCAGTTTCTTAAGTGTTAACGTAGACCATGTAAAAACCGACCACCTAGTTTTGCTTTTTAGTTTTCTTCTTTTTTTTTTCTTTTTGGGTCACACCCGGCAATGCACAGGGGTTACTCCTGGCTCTGCACTCAGGAATTACTCCTGGCGGTGTTGGGGGGACCATATGGGATGCCGGGCATCAAACTCTGGTCTGCCATGTGCAGGACAAACGGCCGCCCCGCTGTGCTATTGCTCTGGCTGGACCGCTTTTTAGTTTTCTGGTTGGGGCTGCGGCCTGGGTCTTCACAGCAAATACCCCCGGCTCCACCCACCTCCCTGCTTGTCCCTAGAGCCCCTTTCTCCTCATTGAGCCGCCTTGTCCCCTGGATCTTTGCGGGGGCTTTTTTGTTTGGCTGTTGTTAAGATCCTGCCAGTGCCTCCATCTGAGCCTGCCCCAGTTTGTCTGATCGGCTGTACCAGGTCCCCACGGCAACCTGTATTCAGTACCGGCTCAGTAAAAAACCCACTCACTGAGCTAGACTGTGGACCCCCAGTTCCACTGAAATGAGTTCCCCAGCAGACAAAACCCAAGCTGCCCCTTCCGTGGCTCTATGGGCCCTTCCCGCCGCTCCCCCTCACCCCACGCACCCCTCTAGATGGAAACTGCCTGTGCTTTTCCAGGAATTGCAGATGTATTGGTGCAGATTCTGGCCAGTCCCTAGGGGTTCCCCTGCTTCCTCCCTCGCTCCCTCTGTGCCAGCACGCCAACCAGACAGCTGCCAGGGGAACCTAAGAGGCAGAGGGGGGGGGGTTGACACGGGGCGGTTTCCGGTTCCCATGCACACTGCCAGTATGACCCACTACCCACCCTATACAATGTTGGTTTGACATTTATTTGTTTGGTTTGGGGGCCACACCAAGCAGTGCTCAGGGCTGACTCCTGGCTCTGCACTGAGGGATCACTCCTGTCAGTGCTTAGGGGATCATATGTGGTGCTCGAGATCAAACCCGGGCGGACCAAGTGCAAGACAAGTGCCCTACCTGCTGTCCTAGCCCTCCAGCTGGCCCTAACACGGTTGCATTTATTTGGGCCACTCAAGAGTCACTTTCAGACGCGCTCTGGGGGACGACTTGGTGCCAGGGATGGAATCTGGGGCTCCCACAGCCACCCCATTCCCTTTTCCGAGTACGACAGTGGTGGTTCTGAGGTAGCACTTGGGCCCAGAGGCTGCAGAAAGCACAGGATGCTTCAGCTGGTCACCAGGGTCCGTCTGTGATGGAGCTGAAGGTTCAGGAATGGGGTGGTAGGTTGCGTTCCTCTGATGGAGAAACTGAGGCTGAGGGGAAACTTGCCGGAGGGGGCCAGGTGGGCTGCTTTGCAGTCCCAGCATCACAACTGGTCCCTTGGACCAGCTTTTGGACCACACCTGGTGTTGCCTGGGGGTAGCTCCTGGCGGTCCCGGTGCTCAAAGTGAACAGCACGCAAGGCATGTACTCCAGCCCCGAGCAGTCTCTCCGGGTCTCTTTCTTACAGAGGATTGCAGGCAGAGAAGGAAGAGGACCTTAGGAGTGCAGGGGTGAGGGAAGGTAGACCGGAGACCTAAGTGAAACCCAGGCCTCAGAGCTGGCCCTGGCGAACCGGGACCCCGGGCCAGGGCTCCCCAGCGGTCCAGTCCAGTTAGGTTAGCACCAGGTCCTGTGGTTGGTCAAGCCCAGATCCCCCCATTGCTGGGCGGGGAGTCCCCATGTTGAATCTGTTCCTCCAGGCCCCTGCGTGGACGCAGGGGCTCCCAATACCTTCCACCAGGGCAAGGGGCTTAACCCTGCTCTGAGCTGCTGATACCGTCGTGTCCCAAGGTGCACCCCAGGGTGCAGCCTTGGGGCGGGGCCAGCCCTCAACCCCCGCCCCCAGCCCTGGGCTGGGGGGGGGCGGAGGCACAGCTCTATGGGGGCTGCGCTTGCCTTGCAGGTGTTAGTATGTGGATCGTGATCTCCCTATAACAACAAAGAGACACCAGAGACTGCAAACAGCAAGCAAGGTTTATTGTAACACTGGCTAGCCAGGGTCAAGCCGCCTACACAGATACACAGGTCAGATAGGTGAGGCAAGACCCCGAACTTCTTCAAAGGGGATCTTATATAGGTCTTCACTGGCTGTTACAGTAAAGCCCGCGCATTTCATAGCCAATAGATTTGTAACAACATATACTTTCTTAACCAATCCATTTGAAAGTACATCACTCCTTAGCCTATAGATTCAAAGATCAGCATTTCCGTACATAGGCATTGTGGCTAGTGGGCATTTGGTAACATTTGGTTATCACCTGGCTCCCTTTGATCCTGTGGAAGCGGATAAGGGAAAAGTTCCTAACAGAGGTAACAGATAAGGAAGGGCCAACAAATGGTTTCCGAATTTACATCCCAGCAGGGAAGAGTCAACAAATGGTTTCAGAATTTAGGTCCCAATAAGGAAGGGCTTCACAGCTATGGCTCTACTAGGGAGGGGGCAGGAAAGGGAGAGTTACTAATTAGTAGAGTTTTAACTCTGGAATCTCCCTCGGGGTCCCAAGGGACCTTACACAAGTGGAGGTCTGGGGGCTCCCTGTCCCGGATCTCATGGGGGCCCGTTCCAATCCCACTCTTTCCACCCAAGCTCCAGTCGCCCTTGTTGTCTGCGCAGCCACCGCGCCCTTGCTGCGGGGGAAATGAAAGCCACATGAGCTCACTGTCTAGGCATCCGCTGCTGCTGACCCCAAACCGCGTGCCCGAGGGGACAGGGGGACACTGCAGGCTCGCACTGGGGGTCGTCTGGCACCTGGAGCCCCGGCCAAGGAGGATATCCAGCTACTGTCTGTGGGTCCCTCGCGGCGTGGGGATCAGCTGCCCACCCCCCACCCCCCACCCCCTGCCAGGACCTTCGCAGGCAGGAACCAGCCTGGGCACTTTGCTTCCTGGTCCCGCTGGACGCGGCCACGCGGTCCCCGCCTGTCCCTTCCGGCCCTGCCTGGCGGATGCAGGTTCAGGGACTAAGGTCCCGACCCGGCAGGAAACCGGCAGGAGAGGGAAGGCTGGGGTGGTGGGCGTCCTTGAATCCCTCTGGGACGATCGGGCGGGGACAAGTGGCGCCAGCATTCGCCCTAGGGGAAAGGCGAGCCCCCAATCCCCACGTCACAGACGGGGAAACCGAGGCTTAGAGTGGCCGTGAAGTGGCCTTGGCTTGGCCTGGCACATCCCCAAGTCTGGGGTCAGCGGAGGGCGAGGCCGAGTCGCGCCCCGGGGCCCGTGAGGAGGAAAAATGAGACTGTTTGGGGCGCCCGGGGGTGGGGTGCGGGTGACATTCCGGACCCAGGACCTGCTTCGCCCCCAGGCTGTTCCTGGACCCTGGGGCCACCTCCAAGGGGCGGGCGCAGACAGACAAAGGCAGCACCCGGGTTACTGAACTCCGCGGCCCTGGTCCGGGGCGCCCCCTGGCGGCCGCCGGAGGTGCCGCGCGTCGAGCGGCCCTGGACTCCCGGGCTGTCGGGAGGGGGCTGTCCCGTGCACCTCGGTGGGCGGAGCTTACCGCTCAGACCCGCCGTGGGGGGCGGGGTCCAGTGAGTGAATGTTCCAGGACTGGAAAGAGGTGAATGGGAGGTGAGCAGCGCCTTGCCTTTGACAGGCAGAAAAACCGGGACACCTGCTCTGGGGGGCTGGCGGGGCCCTCCCGGAGACACGGGGCGGTGGGAAGTGACCTCAGGGTCTCCACCCTAGCACGGAGCTCTTCCTGGCCAGAGTGCACATACCCAGACACCACAGGCGCCTCAGAGGCAAACAGAGGAGCCTGTCCCTGCAGCGCCCTTCCTCCCAGTTCCTGGGAAGGGGTGTCTACAGCGGTCAGTGACAGTCCTTCTCGGTTCTCAGGGCCACTGGACATCCAGCTTCCTGAGCACAGTGTCCCAGGCTTGCCTCCTGCTGTTGTTCTGGGAGCACCAAGGGTGGAACTCTGCGAAACAAACACTGAGGGGTGGTCAAAGATTCACAACAGGTGAAGTGCTTGCCCTGTTTAAGGCTGACCCAGGATCCATCCCCAACACCCCACAATGATCAGGAATGATCCCTGAGCTGAGCCAGGAGGAAGTCCTGGGCACAGCCAGAAATTCCAAAACAAAACCAGTAAAGTGTTGGGGGGCCATATAAGAAAGGGGTTCAAGATGGTTTTAAGCCCTGCAACCACATGGTGCCCTGAGCCTTGCAGAGTAGCCCTGGGAATCCCCAGTCCCCTGGGGGATCCTTGCATGGATCCTCTGGCTGGGTTGGTGGAGAGTCACTGCACATATGCTCCAGACCCTCATCACCATTTTGTTTCTGGGCTTATCCAGGGGTGCTCAGGGATCATTCATGGTGGTGCTCAGAGGACCAGATGGGATGCTGGGGACTGAACCTAGGTCAGCTGCATGAGAGGCAAAGTCCAATTAACATGCCCGCCCCCGTCTCCCTTTGTGAGGTGCTCCTCACCCTAAACAACCAATAGCAGCCCAGGGAGATGCTGCAAAGGGCCAGGATGCAGTTTGCATGCTGGAGGCTGGTTCAGTCTCCAGTACCGCATGGTCCTAAGTGCTTTCTGTACTGGCATCCTAGGTTGCAGAGGGTGCTCCAGACTCTGGGGTGCAGGAAGGGCTGGTCCGGCATCCAGCACCTCTGGACTTGGGCATTGAACTTTCAGGCTTGCAAGCAGGCAAGTATCCTCAGAAGCACCCCCATGTCGGTGGACACCTCCCCAAGCTGTCACCGGCTCCCAGACCACAGTGAGGCCAGCTGACCCCCCAGGCCCTGTCTGTGACCAAGAGCATTGCTGGAGGCAGGAAGGTGCAGAGAATTTGGAGAAGGAATGGTCCTACAACGATGACCTGTGGAAGGTGCTAGAACAAAACTCCACAGGCCTGTGTGGCATGTCCAGGGTGCTTTCCCATAGTGTCCCTGCGTGCAGGCATTTGACTTGAGGCAGGGGAAGAGCAGCTCACGGCAAAGGGAGGCCAGGCTGGCTGGAGGAAGACACCCCAGCCCCAAGATCCGGACACCCCGTGTTCTGGGCCCTCACACACAGACTCCGGCTGACCCACAGGAATGAAAAAGGGGGTTTATTGAGAATCGGGGGGGGGGGGCACAGAATGTACCCGTGCCACTCCCCAGAGTGGCTAAGCTGGGCTGGGCTTAGGGGTATGGTCTGCAGCTTTGGGGAGTCCGTGTCTGCTGAGGTGCAGCAGGGTGGTGGTCAGGAGGACGCCCCCTTCTTCTTGCCGGGCATTCCCTTTAGCAGTGCCAGCTTCTTGGGCAGGCTGGAGCTGGCCTTCATCGTCAGCTCGTGCTCGATCTTCTTCCGGATCCCCACCTCCAGGTCCTGCAGGCAGGCAGAGGGCGCTGGGCACTCCTTCACCCCAGCTCCCAGAATCCCATTATTAGCCCCCAACCCAGCGCCTGGGCTGCTGGCTCCTTTGTGGCGGGTAAGAGGGCACACCCGGTAGTGCTCAGGAATCACTCCTGATGAAGCTTGGGGACCCTCAGGGGTGCCCAGGATAGAACCCGGGTGGCCCCACATGCAAGGTGAGCACCCTCCGTGGCGCCCTGCTGTTCTGGCCCTGCTTTCCAATGGCATCGCCCAGGCTGTCCCATCATTATCACACCCAACTGAGCCTTTAGGCTTGTTTTCAACTGCGGCTGGAGGCAGCTGCCTGGGTTGGGAACCCGGGATAGGGTGGGCGGCGGACATTCACCCTGCCCTGGCGGAGTCCCCTGCGTGGGCAGGGAATACGGGTCTCCAGGGGGGCCGGTTGGCAAATGTGGAAAAGTAAGGGGCTGTAAGCGCGCACTGTGCCCAAGCACCCGCAATCCCGCGCTCGCCCCGGCTTCCTAAATGCTCCACCGCGGTCACCCCGGAATGCAGTCCTGACAACGACCTCCCGGCCCCAAGAGACTTTGAGGGAAAAGGGGGGGGGGGCGCAACGAGCTGGGGGGGGACATTCTGTAAGAAGCGCCGCCTTCCCGCAAAGCTGGGTTTGCGACACTTCAAGCGCACGCCCGTCCTGGTCGTCCAGGGTCCCCGGAACGCAGACATTCCGGGTCGTACGGCACCCGGGAGGACCCCGAAGCTCGGGACTCCAGGAGTTGCCCAGGCTGCACCCCGCAGGTTGCAGACACCATGCCCCGCGCCCCCCAGACCCCAGCCCCGCGCGCCCCCATCCGTTCACTCTCACTTTCTTGAGCTTCTGCTGCTGGACCACGCGCGCCTTCTTAGGGGCAATGACACGACCTGGGGAGAGACGCGCTTGCGTGACTCTGGGGACCGCCAGGCCCGCTTCGAGCCGGCACCCCCACTCCCTCACAAGCCCCAGATTCCGTCCCCGCTATTCACCGCCTTTCTTTGGGCCACGGGTGCGATCCGCGGCGGCCGCGCTCTTGCTCTTTCCGGGCTTTCGCGCCTGGAACTTGCGCTGCCCCTGCGCCATGGTAGCGCAGGCGCCGGAAAAGGTGGGGCCGGAAGCGGTTGCTGGGAGGCGCAAGGCACAATGGGAGATAAGGAGGCAGATGGCGCAAAGCCTCATGGGATACACATGGCAAAGCGTTAAAGGGCCAGCAGCTGCTCATCTAACTATGGGCCAAAACTGGAAAGGTCTTCAGGAAAAGCTGCACATTTCCATGGGGGCCAGAGCGATAGGATAGGGGGTAGGGTGATTACCTTGCACGCGGCAGATCCTAGACACCCCATAGGATCTCCAGGCCACACCAGGAGCAAGCTCTGAGCATCACTGGAGGTGGTACACCCCACCCCACCGCCCCCACCAGAAGCTTAACGTTTCCTGGGCACATTGTAAAAATGTATACTGTTATATGTTCTTTCCATGTAAGATTCACACTAGGATTAAGGACACATGAAATGCTCACATGAAGTGCTCACCTGTGCAAACTTTCAGGGGTGCCCCCAAATGTGATCCAGATCAATCTTAGCTTCCAAGATCTCTGGCTGGGGAGAAGATGGCAGAGCTGCAGCAGCGGCTCAACACGTTTATTATAAATTTATCAAAGGAAATGGGGGCAGGGCGGGCTAGTTCTGGGGTCCACCCCAGATCTCGCTCAGGAGCCAGCAGCGCTGAGGGCAGCCTGAAGATCCTCAGGGGCAAAGACCCCTAACTCTGTGATGATGCCGCCGGTGATGAGGTCGTGGGGGGTGACGTCAAAGGCGGGGTTCCAGACCCCTATCCCTGCAGGGAGGAAAGAGAAAGGAGGCTGGGAATGCTTGGGTACAAGCCCCCTTAGAAGCTGGAGAGATAATAGAGAGGCAGTGGGCTGGCCTGGCATGCAGCCCAACTCAGGTTCGATTCCTGGCAACCCCACATGGGTCACTGAACAGCACCATGAGGAAAGTCCTGAGTACAGAGCCAGGACTGAGCCCCAAGCACCAAAACACAGGACTGAGGTTCTGGTGCTCTGGTGCTCGTCTTGTATGCAGCTGTGGTTCAACTACCAGCACTGTGGGGGAGCTGGGCACTGCCCATATCTCTGCACTGATGCCGTTCCTCTGTCCAGGCAGGTGGCTCAAGTTCCTGGCCCATTAGCCAGCCGGGCCCCAGCAGGCTGAGGAGACCCCCCCAGACCTGGTCCCAGGGCAGAGGCTCACCAGGCGCCGCGATTCGGATTCCCTGAACCTCGGTCAACTCCTGTCCCGGACGCTCCTCGATGACAATGTCCTGGCCTGTGCGCAGATGAAGGTCACACGAGGAGCTGGGGGCGGCCACGTAGAAGGGGATGCTGTGGTGCTTGGCGGCGATGGCCAGCTGGTAGGTGCCCACCTTGTTGGCCGTGTCCCCGTTGGCGACCACACGGTCAGCTCCCACCACCACGGCTAGGGAGGCGGGAGAGAGCAATGGGATGGAAGTGAGGCGGGAGTGGGTTCACGGTGCAGCCGGGGTGGAGGGTGTCCTGCACTGACCTGACACACCCCGCTGGGCCATGGCAGCGGCCGCCATGCTGTCTGCAATGAGCGTGGCAGGAATGTGTTCGTACACCAGCTCGAAGGCTGTCAGGCGGGCGCCCTGGTTGTATGGCCGTGTCTCAGTGCAAAAGGCGTGCTCCAGGCGGCCCAGGCGGTGCAGAGAACGTATCACACCTGTGGGCGCACACAGAGGAGTGATGGCGCACACAGTTGTTGCCTAATTCATGCGCCAAGGAGTGCACCACGCAGGCGGGACTTGTGAGCGCAGGGTATGTGCTTAGTGTGCCTGCAGCCTATGCCATGCAATCATTCACCACTAAGATCTCAATGCCCAGGCGCTACGGGGTGGGATGCAGGCAACCAGGGCTCAGCCTCCCCGTTCTGATCAAGTACCCCATCTCTCTTTGGATCTAGCCACACCTGAAGCCAAAGCCCTTTGCGTTTCTGTACTCATGGGATTTCTTCAAGAATTCTTGGGGCTGGAGCAATAGCACAGCGGGTAGGGCGTTTGCCTTGCACAAAGCCTACCGGGGTTCAATTCCCAGCATCCCATATGGTCCCCCGAGCACCGCCAGGAGTGATTCCTGAGTGCAAAGCCAGGAGTAACCCCTGAGCATCGCTGGGTGTGACCCAAAAAGCAAGGAAAAAAAAAAAAGAATTCTTGCATCCCCAGTGGGCCTATGCTCACTTCAGCCGACATGCACTTAAAAAGAATTCTTGCATCCCCAGTGGACCTATGCTCACTTCAGCCGACATGCACTTACCCAGGGCGGTGCCATAGCCGGCGGTGGCCAGGGCCCCCGTGTTGCAGTGGGTGAGCACTACCACCTTTCCGCCGTTGGGGGCCGCCCGCTCCAAGAGGTGGCGGGCTCCCAGGTCCCCGATGTTCTGATTGTCCCTGAGATCTTTTTCCAGCATGTCTTCAGCAAAGCGGATCACTCTGGGGGGTGGAGCGATCAACAGCTGTTCTGAGCGGTGGGTGGGGGCTGTTTCTGATACGGGTCGGGGAGGGGCTGCAGTCAAGGGGCAGAGTGCAGTGGGTGTGGGAGGGGCGGGAAGGCAGAAACCCCCACCGGAGAGCGCAGATGGAACCCCAACTGGCCAACGGGGTTCCTCGTAAAGGTCCAGCGGCTGAGGCCTGGAGGAAGGGTGGGAAGCAAAGGGGTCCAAGGGAGGAAACGAGTTTCCAGTGCCAAACCCTGAAGAAAAGAGGCGGCGCGGAGAACAGCCGGCGAAGAGGAGAGGCGGACAGAGGCCCCGGTGCAAAGCACTCCTGGGGGTCTGGGCGCACGGGGTCCATTCCCAGCCCCGCCTGCATAACCTCACGTCAAGGGTTTTGGCTCTCCGTGCGCGGTTCGCTGCGCGCAAAGTTGGTGCAAGTTTCGGGCTCCCAGGCGCGGTCGCCCGCGGCCCCCTTACCTCTCCCGGACCGCCGCCTCCGTGGCTCCCTCCCGCTCGGCCTCCTGCGCGGCGGCGGCGGCCAGGTCGCGGGCGGCGCGGGCCATGTTGACCGCGGTCGGACGCGCGGTGACCAGGAAGCTCAGCGCGTCCCGCACGAAGGCCACGAGCGCGACGAGCCCCGGGCCCCCGGCGCCCGCCTGCAGCTCCACGGCCAGGCTGAGGCAGCCCACGAGGGCGATGGCCGGGGCGCCGCGCACCTGGGTACGGGGGTGCAGATCGCGGGTGAGGAGCGGCGGGGGCGAGCGCCCCGACCCCGGCCGTCCCGCAGTCCCGCCGCCCGGCCTCACCTTCATGGTGCGAATGGCCTCCCAGGCTTGGCGCACGGAGCCCACCGCCTCGTAGCGGGTCTGCTGAGGCAGCAGCAGCTGGTCGAGAATCTGCAGGGAGCCCCGCGAATAGCGGATCGCCTCCAGCGACATGGTGCAGACCCCGCGTTCTCTGCTTTTCCGGGGGTCCCGGAGGCTGGCGAGCACGTGGGGCGGGTCGGCAGGGCCGAGGGGCGGAGCGCAGCGCAGGGGGCGGAACGGAAGGACCCGATTGGTGGATCCGCAGCACGGGGGCGGAACCCAAGGGGCGGAGCGCAGGATAGGGGGGCGGGACGCGAGATCCAAGGTCTCCCCCCCCCCGGAAGAGGGGCGCGGTGCACCCGCAGCCCCAGCTGGACCGGTGGTCCCAGGCCACCTTCTCCGGGGCTGTCCCAGCACTGCTGTTCAGACTGGGGGCCACTCGGGTGACGCCACTAGATGCTCCACATCCACGCCCGCCCGGAACAGGCACCTTTGAGCGTGACCTCTGCAGCCCCCGGGGGTTCTGGGCCGTTTTCTGCTGGTCGCGTTAAATGAAAAGCACCGAGCTGGGTTTTTTTCCTGGCCCCTGAGAAATCTGGACATTTGGGGGTGATCCTCTGCCACCCAGAAGTCTGTCCTGATTGCAGGCCAATGTTCTCCACTCCTCAACATTTGCTAGTAAGCGGCCGCCTGGGCCTCCTACCCTGGCCACCCTAGGACGTGCCTGAAAGCTTCCAGCCCCCAGCCAGCGCCCAGGAGTCGGGGTCAACCCAAAGGGGCTGGGGTGAACCAGAGTGCAGTTAGCTCCTGGGCCCAGCCAGGATCCCAAGCTGAGGGCAAGGAAACAGCTTTACTTTTTTTTTTTTTTTTTTTGCTTTTTGGGTCACATCCAGCTGATGCTCAGGGGTTACTCCTGGCTCTGCACTCAGGAATCAGTCCTGGCGGTGCTTGGGGGACCATATGGGATACTGGGAATCGAACCCGGGTCGGCTGCGTACAAGGCAAACGCCCTACTGCTGTGCTCCAACCCCAAGGAAACAGCTTTAATGATGGAATGTCCCCCAAGGCACAACCCCTAGCCCCCTGCCCCAGACCAAATAAATAAAACTCCATCACTACAGGGAGGCGAGGTCCGAGCTTCAAAGGTGCAACAGTGGAGCTGAGTGCCGCTGTGGGCGCTGACGTTCTCGGGGTGCCCTGCAGAGGCTCACTCGCTTTCTGAGTCCGAGTAGTCAGCCACCAGGGAGGAGCCGAGGCTGTGAGGGTGCTGCGGGTCCTGGGGCTCGGCTGCTCTTAAAGGGGTCCCTTGCGGACAGTTCCCCTCCAGCCCACCAGTCTTGGGGGTCTGGGAAGTTTCCTGGTGGCAGTCTGGGAGGGTTGCGGGCCTGTCCTGGGCAGTCCCCTCGGGCTGGTCCCCTGACTCAGGGGCCCTGGCGGGGGCCTGGAGGCTTTCGGGCACGTCCCTGGGGGGCCGGCGCACGATGCCCAGCTGGCACGGAGCGACGGGGCTGCTGGGGGGTGCTGTGCGGCGGGCCTGGACCAGCTTCTTCAGGACGCCGCTGCTGGCTCTGCTGCCGCCGCCCGGACCCAGGCAGGGGCCGAACCAGGAGCGATGGGTGATCTCCGTCCTCTTCAACTTCTGCTTATCCTCGTAGGCTGTGGGGACGCAGGGAGGTGCGTGCATCGGAGAGCGGCCTGGACAAGACCCCCTAGCCCCGCAGCCCAGCAACCCTGCGCTCCCGCAACCTGGCAGCCCCGCATTCGTCCCTGCAGCCCCGCGACCCCCACGCACAGTCCAGGGTGTGTAGCTTGAGCAGCGCGGCCAGCCGGCGGTCATCCTCGGTCTCAGGTACCAGTGGGATGGCCAGGCTGGCCTTGGCCTGCAGCGCCTGGTCCCGCTGCTCCTCCTCCTGCTGGGCCTTCTTCTTTTCCTGTGTGCGGGGTCCGTGAGTCCTGGGGGCCTGGCCTGACCACCCCCTGCTGTCCTGCCGCCCCGTGCCCCTGGGCTCACCCGGAACCTTCTCCGCAGCAGGCTGTTGAGGGCAAAGTCATCCCGCCATGCACTCTGCACCTCCTGGATGTGGCTGAGGGTGGGCAGCGCCTTCTGCAGGGTCCCGCGGTCGGCTGCACCGTGCTCCAGCCGGAACATGGCGTCCGTTTCCAGCTTCTGCTTTTTCTCATGCTCTGTGGGGAAACCAATGGGCCTGGGCCCAGGGCTGCAGGGTGCAGAGGCAAGGGCCCAGGGGGTCGGGTGGGGGCTGGGCGGGGATCCTGGATCAGACTTGGGTAATGGTCTGGATTAGTGATGGGGTGATGGTCCAGGTCAGTGAGGGGGCTGTGTGTCCGGGTCAGTAATAGATGGGGGGGGGCTGTGGGGGTCTGGGTCAGTGACAGAGGCAGGGGGTGGCGGGAGGCCTGGATCAGCGATGGAGGTGGGTGGAGGTCCCTGGGGCAGTGATGGAGGCTGGTAGGGGACTCCTGGGGCAGTGATGGAGGTGGGGGTCTGGGTTAGTGATGGAGGTGAGTGAGGGTCCCATGGCAGAGTGATGGGGCTGAGGGGGGGTACCCTGGGCAGTGATGGGGTTGATGGTGGGGGGCTTCTGGGTCAGCGATGAAAGCCAGTGGGTGTTTGGGTCAGTGATGAGGAAAAAGGGTGAATCAGTGTCCAGGGGCGGGGGTGTCTGGGTCAGTGATGGGGGTGGGCATGTCCAGATCTGGGTCAGTGACTGGGGTGTCTCCTGGTCAGTGACTGGGGTAGGGGTGTGTCCGGGTCAGTGACGGGGTGTCTGGCCCCCTTACCTGTGGTCAGCACCTGCTCATTGTCCTGCATGTCCCAGCGCTCCTCCTTGCGTTGGGCACCACTGACGATCACGTAGTCGCAGCTGGCGGGGTCTGTCTGCATCTCGATGTAGTTGACACACAGGTGGCATTTCATGCGGAACCTGGGGGACGGTGGGTGGTCAGGGCACCCCCCGGGGCCCTTGTGGGGGTGGGTGCTGGGACGCTGCCACCGGAGAACTGGCTTCCTTCCTCCACGTTTACTGGCTCACCCGCCCATCCCTGCCTCCCTTCGTCACCCTGAGGGGCACTTTGGGGAGCTGGGGAGTAAAACACTGTCAGGGGCGCCATGGGGCGCCCAAGCTCTGCTGCTCAAAGGGCATCCCTGATGGCTGCGGGGGACACAGGAGGGGACCCCCATGGTGAGGGGGAGCCTCCCGGGCAGGTGAAGGAATGGACGCAGCTGGGCTGCCTGTGGGAAGGCAGGACAGAGCGTGAGGGGCCTTGGTGGCCCTGGAACCCCCATGGAGGAGGGTAGGTATCGCAGGAGCTCCTCATTGCAGACCCAAGGCCAGTGGAGAAGAGCGGGGGCCGCGGGGTGCCCACCCAGGCCGCCGCATCCCCCCTCCCCACCTGGCCCCACACACCTGTAGATGGGGGTCGTGTAGTAGTTGCCCACCTTCTTCTTCTCTGCGTTGTAGCGGACCCCTGCAGGAGAGAGGGCGTGGCTGAACACCCCTGCACCCTTCCCTGGGCTCTAAGTCCTGGCGCCGGTGCCCTGGCCCTCGCACACACTGGACCTCTGCTTCCTGTCTATGACTGGGGGACAGGTGGGAGCCACCAGAACAGGAAGCGCCCCAGTGGCCGGGGTGGCAGGGCCCTGAGAGGGCGCTGGGCGGTCCCGGGGCCGCATTCCGTCTTCCTCCTCCTGGCTCAGACATGACACAGATTTGTTTATGATGTTGGGTTTGGGGGAGGTGTTGGGTCTAAGCACCTGGGGCTGCACCTGAGATATAGAGTCGGTCGCTGGGGAGGCCAGGGCCCCGTGAAGCCCAAGTTTCACCGACAGGGAAACTGAGCCACAGGAGGCCGCGCTGAGTTGGAGGCAGGAATGCTCACCCATGCCGATGTGGTTCCTGCAGCCGTCACACCAGATGTTGTAGGGCATCTCAAACCTGTGGGCACGCACAGTCAGAGCCCGCTCCTAGGCACACACACACACACACACACACGCGCGCGCGCGCACACACACACACACATGGTCAGAACCCTACTCCTGTGTGCACATGTGGCATTTTGCTGCCCGCACCCATGTGCTCTAGGTGGAGGGGGGGACACATGGGGGATCCCTGCAAGGTGAGCTCCCCATGACTGCACCCTCCGCCCCTACCTGCGGGCCCACAGACCAGAGCGCGAGTCTGACGCACCTAATGATGAGGATGCCCTGGGACAGCTTCCGTGCCCGTTCGCGCAGTGGGTGGCTGCCATGGTAGCCGTTGAGGGTGCCGTGCTATGGGGGTCCGAGAGGGAAGCAGGTCAGCAGGGTGCCTCTGACTCCCGGCCTGGCCCCCAGGGGCCACAGGGAGTCATCAGACTGAGGAATCCGGGCTCAGAGTCACTCCTCTGCCTCCCAGTGGTCCCCAGACGCCTTTCCCGCCCCAGGCCCCCCTTTTTTCCTTTTTGTTTTTGGGCCACTCCTGGCAGTGCTCAGGGATCACTCCTGGCGGCTCGGGGGACCGTATGGGGCACTGGGCACCAAACCCAGCTTAGCTGTGCGCAAGGCCAGTGCCCTCCCCGCTGTGAAGGCGGGACCATGGCTCCTGCCCCTTGGTCCCTGTTTTCTGCTGGGAAGCGTGGCAGGGAGGGGGTGTCCTGGCACGTGTTTGTGGAGGCTAATGGCCTTTGTGGTCATCTGACTCCCTCCATGATTTTACCCATCCCTCTTTTTTGGGGGGGCACCCACACCTGGTTGTACTTGACGCCATGAGGCAGAGGGTCCCCAGAGGTCCAGGGGACCCTGCAGTGCCCAGGGCGGACCCCAGTCTCCTGTTGTCTCTTGGGCGTGCACCCCCTTTGCCGCCACCTCAGCTGGGAGGTCCCAGCCTCAAGAGCGAGAAGAGGAGCCTGCGATACCCCAACCCACAGCCCGTACACCGCCAGGGACCCCGGGCCCCCCTTCTCATACCTTCTCAGGGTTGAAATCCGGGGGGTAGTATTTGTTCACTCCTTTCCTCTCGCCCTGCGGAGCAGAAGAGCGTGAGGGGAGAGGTTGCGGGGGGGTGCCCAGGAGCCCCCAGGAGCCCCCGCCTACCCACTCACCATCCTGGCGGCTGGTTCTCACGTTCCGAGCAGGCTCTCACGCAGCCGATCTGCAGAGACAACAGGGCCATGGCTGCCGTGGGCTGGGGGGGGTGTCTCAGGTGGGCCCCCCAGGTGGGCAGCACATACACGGCAGTTCCCAGTGACACTTAGCCCTCCCCACCTCAGCCCGGTGTCTTTCCCCCACAGAAACCGACAGCTCGCTCGGGGGGGTCTGGATGGGTGAGGCTTCGAGGTCCTTTCCAGCACCAAAGTCCCCAAGAAAATGCAAGTGGGAAATCTAAGCTGTGGATCTGCCCCAGGGCCTGACGCTGTGGGGACACAGGAGCCACCTCTCCCCTCGCTCATTCTCTACCACCCGCTGTAAGTCATTGTCCAAGAGAGGGGCCCTGGAGGACATCTGGGAGCGAGACTGGGTCAGACATCCCCAAAGCTCCAACCCCCAGATGGTGGAACACACCTCCCGCTCTGGGGTCCCCCACATCATCCTGCTATGGCCTCCTCTGGGCTTGGCCCCCATAGAATGATCCCGTCGGGGGTCCCTTAACCAGAGGTCATTCGGAGCAAAGGAAGCTCTACTCCACTCACAGAGACCCCAAGGCACTGTTGCTCCAGCTCATTCCTGGGGACCTCTGTCCCAAGGGGGGGGGGAATGGTCTCATGCTCGGTTCCCCCATTGCTACAGTTTTCACCCGTGCCCCCCTTGCAATGTGCAGGTATTTTGGGTCATATGTGCACCCTGTTCTCTGGGTCTGCACCCTGGAACCAGCAGTGCCACACTCCCCATCAGTGTGAAATTTGACTTGTGGGGGCCACAGACTGCGGTGCTCAGGGCTCCCTCTCAGCTCTGCACTCAGGGGTCACGTGTCTCTGCCGTGTGCTTGTCTCTTTGGCTTCCTCAGTGGAAAATGGTCCCAAGTCTTGGCTGTCTCTCGGCCTGGCAGGCTCTGCCTGTGTCCCAACAAACCCTGTTATCCTGGGGGGAGGGCACAACCAGCAATGCTCAGGGGTTAGTCCTGGCTCTGCAATTCAAGAATCAACCCTGGTGGTGCTCCAAGAACCCTATGGGATGTCAAGGATTGTACCCAAATTGGCAGCGTGCAAGGAAGCACCCGTCCTGCCATTCTATTGCTCTGGCCCCAAAGCTCCACTTCTGGCCAAGAAAACGTGTTTCCCAGTGAGCTGTCACCAGTGGGAGCTTCTTTTCCACCTTCCAAAGGCGCCTTCCGACTGACCACAGGCCTTTGCCAACAGTTAAGTGCATTAAAGAGATTATTTGGGGTGGGGGTGGTGCATCCCATTCCCCAGGCTTGAATTCCAGCTCTCCTGGCCAGTGGCTGGGCACTATCTGATTTCCACTGAGCTGCTTCCCTGTGGGATGGACAGGAACTGACTTTCTGGCGCTGCCATGACTGCAGTGAACACTGGGGTGTAAGTGTGTGTGTGTGTGTGTGTGTGTGTGAGAGAGAGAGAGAGAGAGAAAAGAGAGAGTGTGTAATGGGGGTCTCTCGGTGGAAGGCACGAGGTGGGGGTGGGGTTACACTTCTGGGTGAATGAATAAGAAACCTCAGGTTGAGGGGGAGCTAATGACAGGTTGCATTTCGGGGAGGGGAAGCTGGGGGGCGGCTGCACGGACTGGGTGTGGGGTTGCCACCTGGTTGCTCCCTAGCTGCATGACTGGGCAAGCTGCCTCGGTGTCCGCCTCTATCCAGAGGCTATCTGCCTGCCAAGATGCTGTCCAGCCCCGCGGGTTCTGGCGGTGGCCTTCCTGCGCCTTCCCTGCCTCACTGCGCGCTTGGACAAAATCTCTCCCGCGACCCGGACAGGCCGGGGAGTCCTCTTCTAGAAGGAGTAAACTGAGGCTGGCTCCAACGCCCCAGTGGGGCCCGGGCTTCGGGAATCCCGGCTCTGCATGGGGGCTCGCCCCGGGGATCTGCGCCGACACCCGCAGCTCCCCCCGCAGCCGCGCGCCCGTCCGGAGCAGGAGGCTCTGAGGTCGGGCGAAGCAGCGGCCAGACCCCCGGACCCCCGACCCCGGTCCCGTCCCTAGTAGCCCGGCCCTGCGCCCGCCGTACTTACCTGCCTCCTCCTGACGTCACGGCGCGCCCGTGCCCGGAAGTGTGTACAGGGCGCGCGCGGGGGGCGTGGCGCATAGTCCACGTGACCAAAGAGCCAGCGCGGGGCGGGGTGGAGAGGCGGTCCTGCGCTGATTGGACTCAACACCCGGAGAGCGGACAATTCCCTACCGAAAGCACTCCAAGAGGCCCACCCTCTTCCCCTCACGGACCAATCAAAAGCCCTTTACTTCCACCCGCTTTTCCGCGCGGACCAATCAGAGACGCACTTGCCTGGGTCCCGGGCGACTGGTGGGTCCGGGTGAGGGATTCCGGACTGCGCAAGGTCCGTTTAGCGAGCCCGGAACAACTCTTTCCTTAAAAATCTTTTATGAAATTTATTTTTATGATTCAAAGCGTAACATTTGGTAGCTCGTGACGATAGTATGAAGCGAATATTTTCGCGCTCATAAATCAGCTTCCACTGGGAGAGAGTTCCAGCGCGGTCCTTTCTTGCACTACCCCGTTTCCCCTGGATGCGGGAAGTTGAGTTTGAACGTGTTTGCACGCCCCGCAGGACTCGGTGATGGTTAGGTCCACAGTTTATTAGGTGCCTGCCTGGCCATTTGTCAAGGGCAGTGAGAGAAACGACCGTCGGCCGCGTCTGCGGACCGCACTGCCAGGCCCTTCCGAAAAGCCCTTGCGGATCAGTCTACCGGAGGAACCGTTTGCTCAAGGCTGAAGTTGCAAGCCCTTGCCCCTGGAATCCGGACTGCAGGAGAGAGCTCAAGAACGAGTCAGAAATAAAGTGCAGGGGCCTGAGCTACGGCACAGCGGACAGGACGTTTGTCTTGCATGCCATCAAACAAGATGCAGTCTCCCACTCCCCTTGGATCCCCTGATCCTTGAGCACAGAGTCAGGAGTAAGCCCTGACACCACCACTTGTGACCCACCACCCTCCAAAAAGAAAAGGCAAAGTGCAGAACTTTATTAAACAAAGCAAAATGTACACTTTAAAGCTGACCTCACAGACAAAAGAGGCTGTGTTTTGTGTTTTTTTTTTAAATAATACAAATCCACTCATCCCATATATTTTTAATTTTTAATTAATTATTTTTGGCTTTTTGGGTGACACCCAGCAATGTTCAGAGGTTACTCCTGGCTCTGCACTCAGGAATTACTTTTGGTGGTGCTTACATGACTATATGGATGCCTAGATCAAACTGGGTCAGCCGCGTGTAAGGCAACTGCCCTACCTGCTGTACTACCGCTCTGGCCCTGGAGCTGTGTTAATTTTATTATTATTATTATATTATTTGCTTTTTGGGTCACATCCCTTGATGCACAGGGGTTACTCCTGGCTCTGCACTCAGGAATTACTCCTCGCGGTGTTCAGTGGACCATATGGGATGCTGGGAATCGAACCCAGGTCAGCCATGTGCAAGGCAAATGCCCTACCCACTGTGCTATTGCTCCAGCCCCAGAGCTGTTTTTAAAGTAATCCAGTGAATGGATTACTTAAAAAAAAAAGTAGAAAAGTAGCACAGAGGTTAAGGAGCATTTGTCTTGCACCTGCTCACTTTCGTTCTATCTGTGGCACCTCAAGGTCTCCTGAGCAACCCTCAGAATCCCCAGAACAGCCTCAGAAGTCCCCGCACACTAGTGACTGTGGTCCCAATACTCCACCTCAGGAAAAACTCTCCCAAGCATAACATCTGAGAAAATAGGTTTGTAAGCTACTTCCCTGCACCTGCAAATAGTGTCTGGCTTTGTGTGCAGCTGGGCTGTGCTTTTATAATAGCTTGTGCCCGCAGGGGTTTGCTGGGAATTCATCGCTTAATACCTTTCATGCCAGGTTCCCATTATTTATTTATTCTCCTCCCTTTTCCTTTCCTTTTCTTTTTTTTCCATAGATAGAAAGATGCTGTATACAGCTGTGCAGCAGCACCAGGGGATGGCCCTGAAGCCCAGCCTTGGCTGCATTTCCCAGACTAGAGACAGCGACGCTTGATCAGGGAGAGAAGGTACTTTTTTTGCACATAGAATGCCTGCAGCTGCCACTGGCTTGGCTTTGGACTTCATGGATGCTTCTGTGAAGTTTTTGTAGTGTGTGTCCAGTTCCTGTTGTGTGCCCCTGCCCCCCCCACACACACGCGCACACTTTGATGGATGGCCAGGTCCAGGGCACACAGCCTCCTTGGGCAGCCATATCTCTGATTAAAATAAAAAGCGGTGCTGAGGTCAGGAGGGTGAGACGGTTATCTGACCTCAAAAGCCATCAGTTATTCCAAGAGCATCATGGGTGTGTTTGCTACCGGCCGAGAGTGGCAGTTTCCAGAGTGTGGGTGAGCCCTGAATCTGTGTGAAATTCTTGGAGCACTTTCCCCTCTGCTTACCCCAAGGGGAACTATCTCTCCCTTAGCTTCTGCCTTCGCTCATGAGTGCATGGGGGTACTCTTTCTTGCCACCAACCTCATTGAATGGAGTTTGGTTTTGCTTTGATTTGTTTTTTTGAACCATGCCCAATGATGCTCAGGGGTTCCGCCTGGCACTCAGGAATCACTCCTAGTGATGCTCGATGGACCCTGTGGGATGATGGGATCAAACCCAGGTGCAAGACCTGTGTGCAAGACCAGCGCCCTCCCCACTGTGGTGAAATTTTAAAAAAATTTTTTTTTCTTGCTTTTTGGGTTACATGGCGATACACAGGGGTTGTTACTCCTGGCTCTGCACTCAGGAATCACCCCTGGCGGTGCTCAGGGGACCATATGGGATGCTGGGAATCGAACCCTGGTTGGCCGCGTGCAAGGCAAACGCCCTACCCGCTGTGCTATTGCTCCAGCCCCTGTGGTGAAATATTGAATATAATCAAAGTAGAGAGAGAGAGAGAGAGTAAAGTGGAAATCATCTGCCACACCGGCAGGGGGAAGGGTGGGATAGAGTTAGACTGGGGTTCTTGGTGGTGGAAAGTGTGCACTGGTGAAGGGATGGGTGT